GTGTGTGTGTGTGTGTGTGTGTGTGTGTGTGTGTGTGTGTGTGTGTATGTGTGTAACTAAATTAAAAGTTAAAAATTAAACGAACTTATTCTCTAAATCGTTGTATTTATAATTACAATTCAATCAATTTCGCAATTATAATATCTAATATGTTCACTTTAGCTAATGCATATCAGTAGGTATACTAGGCCGGTTCTAACCTAGGAGCTCCGAGCGGGGTGCAGGTGTGCGAGGTAACTCGGGACGCGAGGGTAAAGGAGAGGGGGTAACTGGTAGGCACGGGGAAGGGGGAATGCTTTGTCGATAGTGCTTTGGAATGTACTTTTGAAGGGGAAGGGGGAAGGGGGTCTTTTTTTATCTAGGAAGAGCTGCTAGAGAAGATATTTTTTGTAGAAATTGACGTAGGAAAAAAAAGGAAAAAAAGCGCCGTTATTCCGGCTGCAATAAATGTACGTGTCGCAACATGTTCATTTCGAACAATTTCGAAAAATCCGTTATTCAATGAAAATAATGTATTAGTCGGTAAATGGACACTTTTCCTTAATTTTTTTCTTGTTTTTTTAGTAATAAATACTGAACGTGCTCATTTCTATTTGATCAAGTTCTCACGTAGGAAACAATAAATTTTGATGGCGACGTGGAAAATGGGAAACTACAAAAAAGTGAACTACAGAAAATGAAATGAATTCAATTCAAGAAAAAAAGATATTACCCTTTTTATTGATTATACCAATAAATAATATCTTATTATAACTGAAATATTATTTTATTTTAAGATAAGAAATAGGGAAATTTGTTTTGATTGAAATCATATTTTTAAACGTGAAAACGTTTTTATTCACATTTTTATTACATCTTTTACGTCTTTTTTCATACATACTAAAAACTAAAGCTAACAATTCGCAATCGACGAGTTGATGCCTATCGAAGATATCGCTATCGCGTATGGTACCTCTTCGGGATTATAATAGACGCAATGTTGGAGAATCGCGTATACTTTTCATCGATTGTATCAACGAGTCTGTCTAGTTGATTGAACGTTATATCAATACATTCGGCGAGATTAAACATATGGCGTAGCGTCGATTCGACCATCATAATGCGTACGTTTGAAGATTCAAGACGTACGAGTGTAACGTTGTTCATCATACAAATTCGGACTGTTAACGGTCCGACGTTTATAAAATTGTCTTTGTAATTGTTTCATAGCAATTTGTAGATATTCCATTGTTGCTCATAGAGTCCTTTCCATGTTTCGAGAGACAGTATCAGCTCTTGTCCTCGATGATCTCCTAGGGCGATCTCTACGTAGTTTGGTGGACCAACATTGATTCCAATTTCCAGAAACTTGAAGCTCGTAACCGTCAGGTTGTAATGTCTGCTCATCAAGCAGCGCACTCGCACGAAGTTCCATCGAAATGTTGTGTAACAGAAATTAAGTACATAATATTGCGTAATGTTGCAAAAAGAAAAAAAGAAAATGTCGAACTTACGCGTTACGTTCCTTCTTCGTTTCACTATCATACAGTGCACTGCTTCCTTTGGCGGAGTACATTGCATGTGGATCGTTCGTACAAACGAATGATGGAGAAGCGGAGTACGTTACGTATGATTCGTTTGTACAAACGAATGACGGAGGACTGATCGCACCCGCATAAATTTTGACACGGCAGAGCGTTAATCCCCCCCAACCCCTCCCCTCTTTTGAAAGATGAAGTGGACAAAAAAATCCAATGACTTCGCTGAACAATACTCTATTATGATAATATTTCGTTGAATAGGCGTGTTATAGTGGCCCAGAAAAAGACAAAGAATCGTACAATTGCAGATAGCACATCGAGAACGAGTTTACTGTTATAGTGATTATAAACTGAAAGAAAAAAAAAGATTGCGTCATTATCAATTAATTATAAAATTTTTATTTCAAGAAAAAACCTAATCAGCTATCAAAAATATGTAAAGAGAAAAAAAGAAAATGTGAATAAAAAGTTTCACGCTTCAATCATAACGCAATTTCTTTGTCATCGATGAGTCGATCGAACGTTATATTGAAAAAATGTATAAGATCGTTGGAATATTAAGTAATCATCAATGTAATAGCGGGGAAAAGGAATAAAAGAAAATATATTATATGTTATATATGTTTATTTAAGATTATCTGCCCACCAATTAAACAATTTAAATACATTTTGTAACGCGCAATTGGTATAATGATATCCACATCGTATAGAATTATCAGCATCTAGATTATTTAAAGAATCTACGTCTTCGTAATCCGCATCCAGGGTTTCGATGTACACGCGCTCTCGCTCATCGTCCACAAGCAAATTCCGCAACCATTTTCGTTTTTCATGTCCCTTGACATATATGCATCATCATCGTCGTCGTCGTCGTTATTTTCTTTTGTACCATGCACAGCTTTCGTAATCAAACTCTTAGCTTCGCTGTACGGAATCGTTCCGTCGTTCCATCGCAGTCTATGATGACGTATCACCTAGCGTGCGCGAGATTTGTCGGCACTTGCCAGGAAATGCCACGGTATAGGGCTTGCGAAAATGTAATGAGAGAGAACGGTCCGTTCTTTGAGAGCAGCAAACTTTTTTACGACAAACTGTCCTTCAACGAGGAAACCTTGCAGGTCTACGAACGTTGGCACAGACATGACTGTCGAGAAAAAGACTGCGATCGATTTCGATGTATAGATTTTATTGTCTCTCATATACCAGCGATGCTCTTAGGTGATCTTGCGTATAACATTGGTCAACGGGTTGTACTGAATCACGCGATCGTGTATAATGAGACAGTACGCGGTGGTATTCATCGGTACGTTCTCCTTAGTCTCAAATTCCAATCTCACATCTACGGTTGCGCTCTTGACTGATTCGTTTTGTCGAGAACAACCGATGATTACGAATGGACCGTAACGTAGAAAAGACGTGAAGGTAAGACTTGGCTCGAGATACTCGTATCCGTAGTAGTTCTTGCAGAAACGCGTGTACGTTTCGTACAACACAGACCATCTGTTTTTTTCGAAATCCAGATTCATATCATCGTACGGATAACATTCTTTCAGTTCAGATAGAGTTTCACGTTGGTCAAGTTGCAGTCGCCGAATCGGTTCGTGTCCTTGGTCATAATGTTCTTTCGGCCTGTTTGCGAAGATGACATATCGCGGCTTCTCTAGCTGAGTAGCGGTTTTAATGGCCCACGAATGCTTGGTTGTACGCTGTAACAGCGGAAACTCGTACAGATCCCACGAGCGAAAAGCCATGCTCAAGTATCGTCCGCTCTCCAAAGTGCGCAGCATCGATAGTTTTGTTATCTCGTTCAATAACACGCGGCATTCGCCATTGTATCTTGAATAAGTCGATCACGGGATCCAATGTCGAATTTCCCATCAGGCAATTGTTGTCGTTGCGCGATCGTATTAAGATCAACTCGTGACGAGCGTTGATTATCACGCGTCTGTAATCCTCGCAGAATCCCAACAGTACGTAGAGAGGTACGCAAAAGTTAAAATATCCATCCGCGTTGGTACGCGCATCCCAGCCAGCATTTCTCAGAATCACGCTTCTCTCGAATGACGTCGTTACGTAGTATTTGAGCGCGCTAGTTATGCCTACGTTTCTGTTACGATCAATCTCCACGCCATCGAGCTCGTATCGAATCTCATCGAACATAAACGCCACAAAATTATTTCCCAACATCACATCAGATTCGTCGACAATATTTTTCTTCGTTAATTTTCCCTCGATATATAGAAAGCTTTCGTACGGCAATGTGTACAGATCCTGTTGCTGTATGGGTATTCTTATCTCATCACTGTACCCAAACGTTGTATTGGCGAACGGGTTATACGTATGAGTTTCAATCTTGACGATGCAATCGTCGAAAATTGGCTCGTCTTCGATGTTTAGGATGTCAGTCATCTCACAAGTTGCGCACCGCGAATCCTAAAGCTTGTAAAAATTTAACATTCGATGCGTTGAGATTCTTTCTCTTTTTGATGCAACCGGATGAGCGAGTATTGTCGATTGGTGTTTTCTTTATAAAAGATCCGTTATCTCTCTGCACGTGCTTCGCTTCGTTCAACACGAGCATCCCAAATGTCACGCTCGTGTTATCGCTGTCGCCGTCATACGTGCATTCTGATAGTGATCTCTTCTCCTCTGAAATCGAGCAATCGTCCGTTCTGGTCAACAATGCGTATCGTTAGCTCCATAATGCTCCGTACGATGACTGACAAGTAATGATTTGCATCGGTCTTTCCGATATCTTATATCCTGGTGGCACGCTCGGTGAAAATTCATGTAGCACATTGTGATACACTGTGTGCACACTTTTGTCGTTGCTATACTCGCCCGCGGTCACGTTGCACTCTACACGGATAATGTTTACATTCATTATGTTGATTGACATGTCCGATTTATACCACTTTCGCGGTTGCAATATACGCTTCGACGAGAAACCAAACAGCGATCCAATGTTTTTGGGCTTGTTAAAGTTTATTCTGTTATCACATTTAATCTCACACCTCATCGTGTTGTAATTTGCGCGGAGCACTATCGGATACTCACCAATCTCATCATCGCCGCGCGCGGTGTCACCGGCGTTACCATCGGATGTGTCGCGTCGCAGATGTTTTCGTAAAATCTCACGTTTCAAAAATTCATTTATGGCTTGCAGTTCGTACGACCCCTCGGGAATCATAATTTCTGCGTCGTCTTTGTCAAAATAAAATTTGTTGTTCGAAACGTTTACATTCGGTATCGTGTGATAAGTCTCCAAAATTGTTAGACCAAGCTCGTAATCATCGTTGTTCAAATCTATGGCTGGAAAGTAGTTTGTCGTGAGAACGCTGCTCTTCCCGCTTAACGTAAGCGTCAGCGACATTATGGAAAAGCATTCAACGAATACTGAAACGTCGCAGCATTTTGTCAGACTTTATAAATTCATAGCGCGTCGACCGTTTGGAGAAACCACAAACACAGCTGTCCGCAGACGCTCTGATCGTACATCTGATAGGACATTCGATTGTACTCTATCATAACATTGTCTCCGAAATATCGTACCAGTTCCTTGGGCGGTCGAAGATTACCGAAACTGTCGAAATATATAACGATCGTTTCTCTTTGCGTATGCTACCCAAAGAGTGCCGGAACCCATCATGTCATCCAGATTTACGATATCGCTCTCTTTTCGACGCGCGCCGTTAATCGGTAATGCGTCACGCATGAAAACGCCTCTGAAGTATGGTACGCGCATACGCTTCGCCAGCTGGTCCAATTGTACGTTGGTAATTACACCTGTAGGTACTTTTATTGTCTCTTTGACGTTTTTTTTCTTTTTTCTTTTTTCGCTGGTACACCTCGTCCGCCATTGTACGGAGCGAGATATAGTCCCCGTCCGTATTTGTACGGAGCGAGATACAATCCCTGTCCGCGCGTTTCCATTGCGCGATTATGACGTTGTAGTTCCTCGAGCTGACGTTGTATGGCTTTCTTGTCATTTATCGCTTTCGCCACGCTGGCCGCTCCGCCAATCATGGAACCGAGCGCGCCCAACATTGGCAGAATCGGTAATATGCCGTCTCGTTTCGCCGTTGGAAGTATTCGTTTTTTTTTGTTGGCTTTTTCCTTGTTTTTGCTTTCATACCCATGCCGATCTTGGTCTTGGCTTTCATCGCTGCCCAAACAGCTGTAGCGACAGCTTTTTCGCCCAAATTCGAATCTCTCGCAATGACGCGTCCTAGGGCTTTATTGGCGAGTATTTTATCCGTCGCGTGTCTATCGATGAGATTGTTGCTCCGAGAATACGCAATGTCGTGTTCACGGCACGCCGCGTCTAGTGGATTTATGCCCGTTTCACCTCTGGCTAATCGCTTTGTAACAGAGCATCTGAAAGATGCTCCGTTACTAGCGCGCGCTAATGCGGCCCGCGCCATCCGAGGCCGCCCGAACACTCCCGACCGCGACCGACCGACACACGCGCGCCGACGAGCTGTTACGCAGCGACGACGTGACAGCTATTGTTACATTAACAAACGCTAACAAACTAAACAGTGACACGTGACGCGGATACGGGTATAAATACCCGACAAATTTTAAGACGAACAACCAGTCCTATCCGCTCCTCCGACCTGTCCAGCACAGACAACCGTTCCGACCAGAACAGCGAGAGAAGAGTCTCTCAGCGAATACCGAGCGTTCTCCGTATTCCTGTTCTATCCTTTCTCGAGAATTCGGAGTGTTCTCAGCTTTCTCGCTCTTGCAACGAATACCGAGCGTTCTCGATATTCTTGCATCTCCCATCTGGGGAAAATCGGAGTGTTCTCAGATTTTCCTTCTCCCGACAATACCGAGAGTTCTTAATATTGTCGCTCCATCTCATCTCGAAAATCAGAGCGTTCTCGGACTTTCCCGCGACATCCGCCCCACGTGTCACGGCTAGCGTCAACAGTTGCCTAGCAACGCACACGCCCGAGCCCGGTTGCCTGGCAACGCGCATACCGATACGAACCCGGCATCCGACGAGCGATCACCGAGCGCACGTCCCCGCGTCCGTGTCTAGAGATAAAAATCCGAGCGCGCAGGGACGTACCGTTACATGGCGTCCGAACAGGGACCGTTTTGAGGAATAAATAAAAAAGGGGATAGCAGATGCCAGCCTGGGTACAAACTCTCTCAAAACCAGACGCCCTTCGTGTAGCACAGTCATTCGGTATCGACACAACCGCGATTCTCGAAGACCTCCACCGCCGATTACGAACGTACGCGAACACTCATCCGCACATTATGCCTACTGTAAAAGCCGGAACATCCACCGACACCGAAACCTCCCCAGTCACCCCACCGCTTTCCGGCTTACCGTCGGCAGAAATGGGTCACGCAAAAACCATGAATCAAATCCGAAAATGGGGGTGCCACTTCGACGGCCGCGATCCTCTCTCCTTTCTGGAAAGACTTTCCGAATTGCAGAGACAATATAGATATTCCAACGAAACTATGTTGGAAGGGCTGCCCGAATTGCTTAAAGGCAATGCACTGTCCTAGTATCGCAATAACGAGAACGAATGGTCGGGCTGGGAAGATTTCTTAACCGATTTCCGCCGTCACTTCCTACCGCGTCGCTATCAGATAAAATTAGCACAAGAAATTCGCGACCGGAGGCAACACCCCGGCGAAACATTCTCGCAGTACGTCACGCATATGCTCACATTAATGCGCCGCGCAGGAAATCACTCGACACCAGAAAAAATAGACCGACTCTACGAGAACATGAAGGCCGAGTATAAAATGTTCGTCCGGATTAACGAAAGGACCACGTTACACGATCTTACAGACCAAGCCACCGAATACGAAGAAATATAAAAAGCTCGCGAAATAGAGAATAAAGAAGGACGAGAATGTCGACGCGTGAATACGGCCACGCCATCGCAATCAATCCCATACGATCGCCAAAATACGTGCTGGAGGTGCAAGCAACGAGGTCACGATCGTTTCTCGTGCAAACGACCTCTCCGGAAATTTTGCTCGCAATGCGGCAAAGACGGGGTACTGACGAAAGAATGCCATCCCCATCCGAGAAACGCCCCGACGGCCGGGGCCGCCAACAACACACCCCGGCCGAAAAACTCGCGGACGTAGAATATACACCGCGTCCACACATCCGCGTCCGAATCGGCACTCGCAACTTCTCCGCACTCATAGACACGGGGTCCGAAATTTCAATGATAAATTCTGAGACCGCGCGCTACGCTCAAGAAATCGGTTGCGAAGTTACCCCGCCGAAAGCCAGATCCATTTAGCCGATGGGGCACTCGCCCATATTAACGGAAAGATTACGCTACCTCTAACCACCCACCACAAAGATATCAGCCACCCCTTCCAGATCCTACCGATTCTAGACAGTACGATCCTGATCGGCATAGACCTATGGGCCCGCCTCCGCTTGACACTGCTCCCTCCCTCCGCAACCACCGGACAATGTCACCCCTCCTATGCCGTCACCGCCGGTTTAGCACGCCGCACGCCCCGAGAAGAATGCGAATTAACAGACTTCCTGAATGTCGAACTGGCCAAATTCGAAGGCGTGAAAGGGCCCACCGACCGCATTACACATGTCATCCGAGTAAAAACCCCCGTCAAACCGATCAAACAGCGATATCGCCCCCGAAATCCCGCGATGCAAAAGATCATAGACGAAGAAGTGCAACAGATGGAGGATGAAGGCATCATCGAGCCCTCCTCCAGTGCGTGGAGTTCCCTCATCGTGATCGTCCGAAAAAAAGACGGCAAGCGATGGTTTTGCATCGATTTCCGCAAGGTAAACGAAGTAACCGAACGAGACGCGTATCCGTTGCCACACATCGCCGCTACACTAGACAAACTCCGCGGCGCGCGCTATTTGTCTACCCTCGATCTCAAACAGGGATATTGGCAGGTACCCCTCGCCCCCGAAAGCCGACCGGTAACCGCGTTCACAGTGCCCGGACGAGGGCTGATGCAATTCAAAGTCATGCCGTTCGGACTACATTCTGCACCGGCCACGTTTCAACGCCTCCTCGATAGCATACTCGGTCCCGAACTCGAACCGAATGTATTCGTATATCTAGACGACATCGTCGTTGCCAGCCCGTCTTTCGAATCACATATAATACATCTCGCAGAAGTTTTCCGCCGACTGCGCGACGCCCGCCTCCGGCTAA